CGAAATTCGTGCAAGGGCTTGGCCATCGCAGCCCCTCACAGCTTCAGCCAGCCCTCGAAGCCCTGGCTTTGTCCAGAAGGTCATCCGGAAGGATGATTGGAAGGTTGTTCAGCTGTCTGGTCTAATTAGCATATTACGCTTTTATTATTTACATATATATATTCAGAGGAGAGAGACAGAAACATCAATAATGAGAGAGAATCATTGATTGGCTGCCTTCTGCACACCGCCTACTGGGGACTAAGCCCGCAACTCTGGGATGTGCCCTTGACCAGAATAGAACCCGGGACCCTTTAGTCCACAGACCCACGCTCTATTCACTGAACCAAACCAGCTAGGGCGGCAACTGACTTTTTAAAAGGTCACTATGGAGAAAAAAGGGTAGGTAATTACTATTATTATTATTTTTATAAATCAATCAAAAGAATACCTATACTTTGTCAGATCAGAAAAAAAATAAGTTATTTTTGGTGTGCCGCAGAATTTTAGTAATTAGTATACCTGTAACATGAGATGAAAAAGGTTGAAAATTGCTGGCATATGGTAAGTGCTTAGCAAACATTCATTTCCATCATTATAATTATTTCTTTTCATCACTACAGTCATTATCTTCCCACAACTGAAATCTTTCCCATTCTTTGAAGTCTAACTCAAATGCTATTTCCTTCACAAGGTTTCTACCGAACAAGAAATAAACCTTCTTCTTTATATTCCCACAGCATTTACTTCAGAGGATTAAATTATATTTTAGTCATTTAATAGTAACCTACAGAAGTGGGATAATACAAAAGCCAAGATGTTGGAACTGAAAAACCTGGGTCAAATCCCAATTTCTCCAGTTTTAAGTTTTGTGAACTGGAACAAGTATTTGACTTCTCTGTGCCTCGGTTTCCTCATCAGGAAAGTGAGACTAATAATAGCTCTATTTCATAGGGCTGTCGTAAAGGATTTTCAACACCAACTGCACACAACAAATGCTAAATAACTGTTTGCAGTTGTAATTACTTTTTCTTAGCCTATTATAAACTAATAACTCCTCCAAGATGATGACCAGCCCTTATAAACTGCCCAATAAATTCCAGTCAAATTACTTGTTTATAAACTTAGTGCATGATGTACATGTAGAGCATGTTTAGAGAGTATACAAAGAGTTGGCATGACAGATGTGGTTGTGCATCTGCCCATCCTATCCTGAGTAGAAGGGAAGTAGCATTCAGGAGCACCTGCTA